CCACAGTGTGACTCACTGGCTGGTAGATTAAACAGTGCCAGAAAACATTCGTGGGTACTGGAGCTCAATTGTCTATACTGTTAAATTATTAGAATGGTTCCTGGCATGAGTTATTCCAACCAGCCCTTCCCCAGACAGTTCCTAGGCACTGGCAGTTAAGCGTGGACCGAAGACCATTCCCAATAAGCAGTTTGCATGCGGTCACCTTTTTTGGGAGGCTGAGAATTTAATAATATGGACATAGGCCACTCTGTACTTTTTGGTCTCAGTGCCAAAGGAACATTTCCTGTCCCATTTAATTTCCTAGCACAGACATAGCTGCTGTGTTACAGTCTGATCCCTGCTTTGTTCGTGTAGCTGTGCAACTGGGCATTGGTCTGTACTTAAAGTCTGTGGCAAACTGAAATGTAGTCTTTTGTGTCTGTGTTACTCAACCCCATCCCTAAACCACTGTTTGTCTTTGTCTTTTTTTAACTGAATGCTATTCAGACAGCAACTATATTTGGAAAGGGCTGTATATTGTGCAGATCCATTTAAATTAAGCAGTTATGTAAAAATGAAAATCTGTTCTGTAAAGTAAATGGAAACTATATGAGACTGACACAGTGCCTAGATCTTCTGTTCTGTTGCTAGTGAGTAGATACTTCCCACTGATTTGATTTTTCATCAGAAACAAGTAACATGAGGCGAAGGATTGAAACTCCTTGGGCTAGGTGGTGCCCGACAGCCACATCTGTCAGGTGTAGTAAGGCAGAAAGCTTTATTTCAAAATGAAGTTCTCTTTCTTCATCTGACTAAATGCAGCTCTGCCCTTGCTTCTCACTGAGCACATTTCCTTCTTCAGAGAGTCAGACACAGCCTCAGTAGACTTTTGCAGATGTTGTTTTCCTCTCTACTGTGTCTCAAACACGCGTCATTTATTTTCATCATGAAGTGCTGCCTAAATCTATTAACTTTAAAATGTAGTGATCTGCAGGTACTTCTTACCTGATACCATCCAGTCTTATCTGGATAGTAGAAGCAAAGAACATATACTGGAAAAGGAACTTATTTAGGTACCTATTTCTTCCAGTGTGTGAATATTCTCAGTCTTTTCATATGTAGCTGGATCTATTAAATACAAATGTTATAGGGTATCTTCAGGACAGGCAGAGTGGGCTAACAGGCTAAAGGGGGAAAAGGAGATAATTTTGCCCAGGAGCATTTGGATGCAGTTGGAAGAAGAGAGAACAGGGTGTGAAATTTGAGGGAACTTGGAGGATGAGGAATGTGAGGGATGGTAGAGTCCTCTCCTCACAGGGAAGGACAGGGCAGCAGGCTGTCTCCACCCGGGTGTTTGTCCAGGAGCAGCAGGAAATTAGGCATGTTTGGTGATGCTGTCAGGGGACCACTGGTGTGTGAGACAGGAAGGCAGCAGAAGGAAGCCAGGAGATCATGGGGTGTGGTAGAAACCTGGCTGGAGTAAGAGAGGAGCTGAAGAGACCAGCCAGGGTGAGCAGAAGCAAGGAGAAGGCAGTGGAGAAAAGTTGCTTAGGAGAGAGAGCTAAAATGCAACATGGTCACTGAAGTCTACAACCTCCAGAGTATTTTGGAGTCTTGCACAATTTAGGATCTCCATCAGCACATGAACATGAATCCTTTTCCTACAGAACAATCATCATGTGCTTCATTTCATGTGTGTCAGGTTTTCAGGAGAGGCAGAATTTAAGTGAGATGTACTGATGTAGGTACTGATGCTTTTTTCTTCCTAAAAATGGGACTTAATTGAGCAACTCTGTTAAGTGCGCTGTCGCTCAGGGAGACCTTGTTTCCCTGGTAGTGTGACTTACCTAAGCAAAGCATTTGTTCACTCATAACCATGCTGAAGAGGAAGTGATGACCTGCTTGTTCAGCCTCACCATATCCTGTGTTCAGAATAATTTTCATTTCTACTTCTCTGCAAATGTTAATGGAATGTCCACAAATATTTTCTTGGTTTCTATGGTAAGAGAGAGTGTGAAACTTTCAAAACCACTGCATCGTACTCATCATCCTGTGCTTTTCAGGAGAAGACCTTGACCACAAAAGGAGTCATCCTTTTGTGGCATTACTTATGTGTGAACTGACATTTAGTACATTTTGATCCCTTTCAGGTTCGCATTTTGAAATACAGACTTGCATGTTACAAACCATAAAGGTCATTTGATCACTTTTATAGTGACACATTAATGACAGAGCATATCAAAACAGCTCAACACAGATTTCTTCTCCTCTGACTATAATGCAGTCAGGCATTAGCTGAAATTTAACTGTTAGTCTTTTGGAAATCTTATGGTTTACAGGTTTAACTTTCCAAATTACTCAAGAAAAATCTCCAATGCCCTGTGTATGCATGCATGGAGCATAGCAGGGTGCAAATGCTTGGGGAACTTGCCAGTAAGGGGTCACATGGGAGAAGCAGCCACTGTGCTGCACACTTCTGCAGCTGTCTGAAAGTAGCACTCTTCCCCTGGAGAAGCATGGGCAGGGGCAAGAGCTGTGGTGCAACTCTCAGGAAAGGAGCAGCTGTCCTGTGCCACACTCATCTGGAAGGGACTTCAGTTTGGGGCATATGGTCCACAACCATGCATCCCCTGGTTCTTTGCCTATGAGAGTGCAGAGCCCTAATGTTGCAGGGCTTGTGGGTTTGGGGAAAATAAATCATCCTTATTATAAATCATCTTATCTCTGTGTGAGAAGAGCCATGTGGACCTTAAACGGGGAATCATGAGGTTTGGTTGTATTCCCACAGATGAGAGATCACACAGCTCTTCCTCCTGACACTACACCCAGCCATTCACAAACAGTAATGGGTTGAAATTGCTATATCTAATTTCTAAAAGCAATATTACTTCAGTAAGCTTTTCCACAAATGTACTGTGAGAATAAAAGCGTAGTTCAGTTTGAGAGATACATCTGCATTAGGAAAAATAACGTGTTTTAGGAGAAATTATATCCGATTCAGACAGGGCATCTCTAGAGAGAATCCCTGATCTCCAGATATATTTGTCTTCTTTCCTGGAAGTGAATCTCTGAAGAAACTTCTCTGGTTTTTATAGAGAGAAGTGTTTCATAAAAGCATCACTTGTATGGTAGCAAATCAGGAACAAGACAAATGGAGCTAAGTAGAGCCCACCTTCCACACGGGAATCTGTTTCTGTGGATCACTATCTGGAAATATAGCTTGCCAGCACAGTGCTTTGTACTGTTGTATTGAACTGTTTCATAGACAAATTTTATAAAAAAAATCAAAGTGTTTAGAAGAGCTGTTAGCAAATATGACTGCTCCTGCAAATATCCGTGAACCTCCCTTCAATAGCCATTCAGTGGTTCCAAAGGCTGTCAGGGCATTTAACGATTGTAATAAATGTTGTATTTGCTTTTGTTTCATCTGGCTTTGACCAGCAAATTCAGCTGATTACTTCTATTGTTATTTTTCTTTAGAAGACAATTACATTATCATCATTAAAAAACTCACTATTCTTACACATTCCTTTGTGTTGGTCTTGAAATTCAGAACTCACTATCCTAGTTAACATAATTTTAAAATTTATTTTCATTCTTATACTTTTCTTTGTTTTTATCCTTTTTTTTCAGAGGCTTGGTTTGGTTCATGCTCCTCCTGAATGTTACATCTCCGATTTTCATGTTTGTTGAAGAAAACAGCAGTAATTTTAGAGGCCCTGCCAGCTCCCATATTAATAGTCAGAGGTTTAAATTATAGCACAGAGTAAGAAAATATTGGCACTTAGCTAATGGTCATATGTTGTTATGGCTGGATTATAACTGTATTCAGGATGAATATTCCTGTGTCTCTGAGATTGTATTCTAGCAAGATAGTAGCTCAGACAGGACTGTGCAGAAGCTCGTTGCATTCTTCTGAAAATATCCTGAAGAGACAGTCAGCCTCATCTGTATTTGGTCTACTTGTGGGATACAAAAGGATAAATATAAACTGGTCCATCTCTGTTGTGGGTCCAGTGAGGAGGAATTACGAAAGTACATTGATGGAGCAGTGCCAGAAAAATTACCACTGGGTCCCTACAACGTGTTGTGGCATAACCACCAGGACAAGGACAGCCTAAAAGCAGGCACTTTACATGGCATATGTCCTTGGGAAGGAGTGTGTCATTTGAACATTCAGTGTGAGAGAAGTTACTGCTGGTCTGACCAGCAGCACATGGACAGAGACAGTCACACAGGTGTAAAGGAATCCTTGTGCTGTGTTGCTTGGTTGAAAACTGACAGTTTAGGGTTCCTTTGTATCCAGGGAAAGCACACTAGACAGCACTGATGCCTTTGGTAAGGGACAGCTTTGAGAAGAGTTTGATTTAATCTGTATCTAACCGATAAAAAAAAAGTTATATTTTCGTCAGTTTCTTCAGAGACAACTTTTGAGGCAGGTCAAACATCTTTACCATTATTGGCCCATGCACCTGAGTTAACTCAGTTTCTCTTGTAGAAAATAAAAAGCTGAGAACAGACGTGCTAGATTCTGATTTGTCCTATGGGTAAACCTACAGTATTCCCTGGTTTGTTTGTTTCTACTTTGGCTCTGGTGACTACACCTACATCCACAAAAGTTAGGAAAAAATGCCTTGTTCAATTGACTAACATTAACCCTATGGAGAATCAAAATCTCCACTGGAAAGTGGTTGGGGTCTGTAAGCTGCAAAAGCTTCAAAGAGTTGCTGATAGTGTGTTGTGGTATTATGATTATCACACCAGTGCTGTACTCTGAAACTATTTTTGTTGTACCCTGAATTGCAATGTTCTTGACAAGAAATGGTCTCATATCCTGAGTCATCATCACTGCAGTTATCCATACAGGACCCTTTTCTCTGTGGTGGCTAAACCGCTTTTCCCTAATATTTGAGTTTTTACAATATAGATCAAACTAAGTGGAAGCTGTACATAGAGCACTTAGGAGGTTGTAATTCTGCAGCTAAGCACTCTCTTTTCTGTTCCTTTTTGTTTTGCAGGTTGTTACTTTGTGGTATAGAGCTCCTGAAGTCTTGCTTCAGTCCAGTTATGCAACAGCAGTTGATCTTTGGAGTGTTGGCTGCATATTTGCAGAAATGTTCCGTCGAAAGTAAGAAATACAGTTTTATTTTCTTCATGCTTTCATTTGAAACAATGTGCAGTAATGCCTGTTACAATACACCGAATCATGTTTATATTGGAAAGGCCTAAAAAGATGTTTTATTTGCAGTGCAAAATATAAATGTCCATTGCAGATTCATACTTTTTGCTATCTTGAGGTCTGTTTTGATGGGAGTCTCAGCTCTTGGTAAAACTTGCATGAGCATCGTGGTGTTCTGGTTGAATGTGAATCCAAATGCAGCTAAAACTGGCTGAGAGAGGCTGATCAATTTGAGTAAAGCTGGATTCTGGAAGGGATTTACCCTGAGGAAGGCAGGACACTGTGGTCGCAGAGGTCTTCTTCCTCTGCAGTTTGTGCACTGAAGCAGTGTTTGCTTGTAGCCTGCTCTTGGGATATTTGAGATTTAAGAAGTCACTATAAAGTTGTTTTCTAGAGCTGGGATTTTTTAAGAATAACTTATGTAGCCTGAGGGTAGGGTAACAGAGATTATAAGGGTAGTCAAATCCATCCTCCAAGATATGACTTTTTTTAGCTGATTGTATGAAATCAGAACTATCTCACTACAAAATATTACTGCTGGATGCAGGTGAGCTGTGAATTCAAGAGTTCCTCTCATGTTCTGGTCTTTGTGGAAAGACACTTATGTGCAGGTTGTACCATGTAGAGTGTGGAGAGGAACAAACCTGCAAGAGTTTTAACAGGGTAAATCTGTCTTGATACTAAGCCAATCACTTTCATTTTGGTTGAGCTAAAGGCAAAAAGTGCATGTTGTCATCACCTGAGTGATCTTCAGGTAGAAGCTGTATAGCATTTTTTAACACCCATGGTGAAGCCAAAGGATATACGGAATGAAAATGTGAAATAAAAGTATATATTCGGTCAAACCTAAAACCCAAAATCAGTAAAATTTAGAAGGGAATGCAGTGCTATAAGGGCCTTGAGAAACAACTGTGTAATTTATACAGTAAGTTCAAATACTAATTGAAGTCTTGCAAAACAATTTTGGGATTTTACTAGTTATTAATGTTATATGGAAAAATAATTTTTCTTGGGCTTCTTGCCTGGTCAAATGACCTGGGTAGAGTATCCTCCACCCTCTCTGTCTCTGACTCAGAAATGAAGTCAGAAAATGAGAGAAAAAAAGAATGAGGATTTTAAGACTATCACATTGCAAACTTCTAAAGATTCAGTCTTGGCCCATATACCAACATATTCACAATAGTATTAAGCTGCTGCTAATTTTTCTGATTCAAATAGGAGAATAAAAAGCTTCATTTTACCATTTGCAATAAGAGTGATACAGGCCAAAAAATGAATGCAGAACTTCATTACATGCTCAAAACTTTATTTTTCCTCTCATTTAATTTGAAGCATTTTGACAGATAAGAAATACTGCCATATACAAACTCCACCAAATTAATTTTATTTTTTCTTGTAATGGTGTATGAGCTTTTCTGAATCTCCATATTCACATGGTAAATTAAATTTTCTACTTATATATAAATGCAAATATTACATTAATACTACAAAACCAGTATTTTTTTCTTGTAGAAATTAATCTGATTTGAACCAGAGTTCAATAAAACCAGGACTTCTATTTTTCTTGCCAGATAGGGTCAGTCTGACATTCTCAGTCTTATATTTGGGAGACTGTCAAAAACTGTAGAGGTCAGGAATCTGCCAAGTCTGTATGTACTGTGTTCTTTCATCACAAACAATATGACTGCTACATGCTTCAGTGTACAAGGATGATTTGGAAGACTCTTCTCAAGGTTCTTTGCCATAAAGCCACAGCAAACAGCCCTCATGGTGGTTCTGTGGGTTAACATTGCAATACTCTGCATGATCTGTGTTGTCTTTTAGATTCTTCTGCTGGATTGCAAACGAAATCCCATGTTACTGTGACCTTGGTAGCAATAAAATGTAAAGTTTTGCAAACTCCGTGGAGTATAGTCAAAAGACTGAATAAATGCAATAGCAGTTTTACTGGGAAGTGGTAGTGCCCTTGGGTGGTCATCAATCTGTATTTCCACTGGTGTTGGTAGGATAAGTGTATGAGAATGCAGCTCAAACTTTTTGCATGATAGACACAGGTTTGATATTCAAACAACCTTTTTGTTCTGCTGTTTGCTAGGTACTTTTGTCTTCTTTTCCTACTCTCTTTTGCTTTTTCTTTCAAAGATCTTAAAGGTCTGTCATTTTTAAGAAACACATTGAGACTTCTGTGGGCAATTTTGTATCCCAGGGACTTCACTGGAATGGGTTTCATAGTAAAACACTATACAGCATCACAAAACATACCAGAAGCCTGTTTATGTCAAGGAGACGTTGGACAGTCTGAGTTTGATTGAATAGAATTTTGTAGGCTGCCACAAACACAGTAAGGGTGCTTTAAACCTGGATAAGTGCAGGAGAAAAGTGAGTTCTGTATGAATGGTCCAGTCTGTATGTTACAGGTTACTATGTGTTTTAAGTGGATGGCACTTTTGTTTAAATCACCCTTAATCTAAAACAATTTATGACAAATGCAAGCCAAGTATTTATTTAAGAAGTAGATGGAAGTACACAGAAGTGTGTAAAGGACTTGGACAGAAAAAAAAAATAAATATATCTCTGTCTAGACACACCTAGAGTAAATTTGAACATTCCTCTCATCTTGGCTGATTCAGCTAAACAAATGACACTTTTCAGCTCTTTCTCTCCCACAGTCTGAGGTTTGGATAAAATCATAGCTATTTTAAAACGGCACATTTTAATTTTGGTACAGATTTATAGGCTTCTGCAGAGGTCAGTGCATAGAGTTTGTATCCTAAAATCCCTTAGATTCCCAAGGATCTATTCTATTCACAGGTCAGCAATAAACTGCTCAGTACTCAGGTGTATGTGTTATGTACACAGAAGCTCTTCTGCTAAATGTGTCTTTTCTATCCATGGCCACTGCTGATGACAACACCCCTGAAATAAAGCATTACTTCAAAAATTCCTTGTATGACAGCTCTTTCCTGTTTAGTTAAGCAGTTTGCAGTGACTTCTAGATATTTGGATGGAATGTCATTATGTAATGAAAGAGTAAACATATTTGTCATAGTGCCTGTTTTCTTTGTGTTTTAAAAGCTCTGGTGCATGGATAGTAAAAATCAGTAGGGGAAATTGTAAGCTATGCTACCATATCAGAGAGTCCTTCAGAGATACAGTTGGCAGGATTGACAGGGGCCTTGAGGGCATGGGGACATAAATTGGCTTTTTTTAATGTTCAAATAAAGATTTGAATCACTTATACTACACTTTGAGGCTGAGCATTTTCCAGGCCAGTAGGAAAGGGCTTTGTACCTTCTACTTGGTGAACACCTCATTAAAGAGAAAGGCAAAAATGGGAGTAGCATGCACTTCTGTCTGGATACATGAAACTCTTCCAGCTGGCTCAAGGAGTGTGGGCAGCTCCTAAGCAGGAAGCCATGACCAGTGCTTTAGGGAAGAAGAGAATGTCTTCTTGCTTCAGTTACGTGATACTTAATCCAGGTGAATGAGGGTGAAAGGGGGAAAAGACTGGAATCCCAGGTTCAGGTATGGGTGAAATGCACTATGAAAGAAAACTCAGATCACCAATCATAGATTCTCTTCTGAGTAGTCAGTCTTGAGAAAATACGTCAAAATATGTTGGTACTTCGTTCTTACTTCATCTATACCTGCCCAGTTTTCTGTAGGGTTTCAATGCTTCACTAACTAGGAGTTTGGTATGTGTGCATTTGGGACTCAGGAGTCAGGCTATCTATGTAACAATTACAGCTGGGCACATTTAACTATAAAATATTAAACAATCAACTGTGTTTGTCTCCCTTTGGAGTAAATACAGAGCTAAAAATCATCAGAAGAGACTTAGTTTTTGTATCTTCTGTTGTATTCACAGCCTAGTCAAGCTGAAGTCATACACTAGAGGGTGGCCATGTGACTGCATGTTTACAGGCACCAATTCAAACCCAAAACTGGAAAGACATTACTCCCCAAAACCCTTTTCCACCTCCTCAAACCAAAAGTAAAACAGTATTATCTCAGTGCAACAAGCTTCATCTATCCAGGAGGGAATTAATTCTGTTCACATGGGTTTTTTATTGAGACTGTTCATGCACCAGCTCCATCGTGTTTTAATCGGCCTGCTTTTGGTAAAATCATCAGTCACAGAAATTCGTAAGCCACAAGATTGGCATGAATAGTATGAGGTTATTATTTATTAGTTTTTAAATATTAAATCATGTTTTAGCAGTTGTCTCATTTTTCAGCCCACTCTGTCAACGCCTAATATATGTGAGACAGTTATTGCATTACCAACTGTGCAATTGGTAATACGTAAATTGTGCAAATTGTAATAGCAGATAAGAGATGTGTGATTCTACTGAAATACCTATGGTGGGCCAAGATCCCTGGTGGCACAAATAGCAGACACGAGGAAACACGTTATTGGCATATAAGTCATCGTTCAGTGGTGTAAATTTGTCCAGTTTAGAAGAGTTACATCATCATGTGTAGAAAAAGCATGAGCTTGGGACCTTGTTGTTGTAGATAATGTACTCAGATGTGATGATATCAAAATTTTGGTGATGTGAACACTGGGTTTGGGACCTACAGGCTGCCTAGAGTCACAAAACATCAGGTTTTAAAAAACTAGCAGTACTCATATTCATTCTTAGCTATAATGTCTTAGGTTATTGAGTAGTTGTAGATAATCTATAGCACTAAAATGTAGTAAATATTTATTCCCCTTTCCAAACAAGCCGTAAGTTATTAGTACAGTTTGAAGTGCAGTCATCAAATCCATTGCGTGTACTTTCCTGGGTCAGCTGCAGAACCAGGTGGTAGAATGGGTTTGTGGAAGGAGTCCATAAGAGTAGAGTGGCCAGCAGGACTGGGAAAGTGATTGTCCCTCTGTACTCAGCACTGGTGAGGTCACACCTTAAGTGCTGTGTTCCGTTCTGGATCCCTCACTTCAAAAA